GAAGTTGTGATATTATAGACGATAAATAAAGAAGACAGGTTTTGTCGGGTTTGTCTTGGAGGCAAGTTAGTTTAACTGAAAACACCGGCTTATGAGAAAAATAGTATACAAAGAAGTATTCACATAGACGGCCAGTTATATAGTGTGTTTTAAGCATTATTATTCAACCTTATATTTACCGAAAATGTTAACCTCATTTTAAGATCTACAGACCTTTAGCAAGCGTTGTCTTAAAATTGCCTTTATTTCTTGCTGACCAGGACTGTTGTCTGGAAGCTAAGGGAATCATGGTAAGAGACAAAGGCCACTGCCGTGATGAATGTGGCCCCCACACACCCTGAGAGTAAGCCTTGGCGGATTGTGCTCACATAATTTTTGGCATAATTGGAGCAAAAAAACATAATTTTTTAATCGAACACTGCCACGGCATAACTAGCAAATTTTAGCACTTTTGGGGGCATAAATTCATAAAAGTTAGTAAACATGGTGTATTCTCTACAGAAATAAATTAAATTTGGGTAGTATGTTCTTGCAATGCGTGTCGTTGAAGGCATTTTTCCAACGGTTCAGGGATGCGAGCAGCTAATTTGGACAGCTGACGGTCGAGACAAACTGCCATAAAACACAAATAAATTTACAACAACAGTTTATTTGAAAAACCTCATAATTTGGTGTCGTTATTGCGCATTTGCGCGCCTCTATGTACAGAATCTACGTCATTTTGTGAGCATCATTTCGGAAATCAGGAGCATAATTTGGGAATTCTGACATAATTTTGGCATAATTTGGCAAAATTTCGAGCACTGCTAGTAGCATAATATGCCACTTTTAGGAGCACAATCCGCAAAGGCCTACCTGAGAGAGGTGTGTTTCAACAAGTAGAAAGCAACGTATTACATGATCAAAATAACCGTCTATTTTGAAAGTCATTCTTCCTTATGTATACATCATAACGAGGCTAGCGTGCACCCTAGTACCGAGGCTATCTAGGCTACCATACATAACATCCTTTTCCTTCTAAAAAAAAACTAATAAACAGACAAAAATGAACGACGCTGTTTGGCTTCTGCCTTGCTGGTTGAAAGCGTTATCACGTTTAAATTACGCCTCAATGTGCTTCTGTTGTAAGACTCTCTTGTTTTCCTTAACTGACGACGGTTCCGTCGATATCTGGCACC